TGGAAAAAATCTTGGGAAAAATACTTTTACACCTTGGATTGGCATGAAAATTTTCGTGTACGTTCTATACTTGATGAACTACATATATGTAAAATTTTGTGCCAAAATGTGTTACCATTTTTCCCCAAGAAATTTCTGAAATCCAGGTCACAATTCTGAAAATTTTTGCCGTTTTCAGCTTGTATATCTTGCTATTTTGTGATGTTTTCATGCTTGTATGAAACTATGAGATAAAATGAGAGCTTGCTTGGAAAAGTACTGTTTTTGACTCCCAAAATAGGAATGAATGGGCCCGGCAGCAAACATGTGCTCATTATTCTTCGGCGAACGGTACTTCTCTCATTTTTCTATTTTATGAATTAATAAGAATATCTCTTGTCATGTCATGCCTTGTGTGTACCAAATATGATGTGCATGACTAAATTGAGTTTTTGGTGTCCAAGACATAAGGGACAATTATATCACATATTGCATGTGCTTCTCTTTAATTGACAACATTTAACATATAATCTCTTGATTATGTTCATATAAGAGATTTTGTTATTTCTCTTGTTGGCAATTTATGATTTGCTATAGGCCATAGCTATTGAAATTCATCACACAACTTATAAGTGGGAAAATAGCATGAATTCTCAATATGGTTAGGTTGCACCTGTCGTTGCTAAACCTTAACTTGCATGTGGTAACAATTAAAGACTATGACATGTTTACAGTGCTAGTTTCTGCTATAGAAACTCTTTGACATGAGATTTGGGCATATGATATTTAAATTTATAGCCCTCATTTTTTTATATTTATTTGCCCAGAAGGTAGACTAAGGACTTTAATTCTCTAAGTCACCTATTAGGATGGACCTTGACGATAATTTCAAGACAAAAAATGGTCCACCTATCCCATCAATCCCCGAAGGAATGCTATGACGTTACTATGAGTCAAGTTCTTTTTACCCAAGTCTAACTCAATGCATATCACAAATCAATCCCTCAAGGATTGCTATTCCCCCTTTTTCACCTAGTACGTGGTTTCAGAAGTAACATTTCCCTATCTGCGTTATTTTATTTGCGCAGTCTATTTTATATCACCACCACAACGTACCTCTAAAAGGGCTATCAAAGAAACCCCCGTCTATTGATTAAATACCGAAAGCCCATGATAGGGGATCAATACATATAATTGGGTACGTTGACTGCATTCCTAATGAAGATTGTTTCTCGGCATTAGGGGGAGATAATATACTACTCCGTAGCTTTTTGGAATGCCAAGAAATTTCATAAGAATAAAAATATCTTCATTATTTAAATTCATGTACTAGTTAGATTGAACTGGAAGTTCAAAAGATAATCTATTTGCGATTTTAGCAAATAATCTGCCAAATACATCTATTGATCATAATGATTATAAAAGAAGTGACTAGGTCCTATATCCTTGGACCAAACATATCTATTGATACTCCTTGACACTAGAAGTGTAGGAGATCTATCGGTGAAAGAGATATGGATCATAATACTAGATCTAGTAAAGAAATATTGTCACTCTTGAAATAGCTTGAATAATTATGTCCTGCAGACGTTCGTCCAGATGACGAAAAAAACCCTGGTAAGACTTATGGGTGCACCAAACAAACGTAAAACTAGGGATGCGGAACGACCAGATCAAAATATCTTTGGGAAATGTTTAGAATCTGGTTGTTTTATAAATTGCCATTACATTTACATATATGGGATTTTTACAAAAAGGTTATAGTTGTCGACAACACAATTGCCATTACAAATTGCTCGTTATATAATAATCTGGATCCAGAGTTAGGCACCAGAAGTGCCATGACTATTTAATATATAAAGGAGCAATTAAGGCATAGCTCGACTCGCTAATATGAATAAATTCTCTTTATAACAACACACCATTAAGTGTTAACCCTGAAGGTTACAAATGGGTGTGTGCATGAAAGAGAAATAAGAATAACAAGGTGATATGATATGCAGCGAGTCTGTAGCCTATGGGTCCACGCAGAGACCCTTAATTGATTTTAGTCAAATATACTCTCCCACGGTAAATGGCATTAAGTTCCGCTACATAATACAATTGGCAGAATAATAAATTCAGATATGCAGTTAAATTTATCTTGAGAAATCCTTGATGGATTCATAATTCTCGAAATGAGGATTTTGAAGTATTATTATGTGTCATTATTTACTCTTTAAAGGGTTGCGAATGGAGTTAATATCCTCATTGAAGGAATAATATGTACCATTGTGTGCTCGATAAAGGGTTGATAATGAACTTATTTCTCAGTCAAGATTGATGGTGTAAACATCAATGAAATATATAAAGAGCTTGATAATAATGTCAGTTCATGTTTAAAGACTGAGACTTTTGAAATAAAAAGCTTGTGAAAACTATAAGTATTATCTCGACTTGAAGATCGAGTTTTTCTTTGAAAATTTTTTTATATACACTAGTCAGCCAACATCTAAAATTGCTTTTTCACATGTCTATATATGCATATAAGTGTCATGTTTTTATCAAACTAAAGGTTGCCTAATAATCTCTTGAAGCAGATAAGGAACCTTTTTGGACTCGAAGTCCCTTACTTCATTATCGTTGGAGCACCATTATAGAACCAGAAGTTCCATAATCGCAACATATTTGCGATGAAATTGCTAGCAAAATCTAGTGTTCCCCCTACAAATGAAGTACTTGAATAATGATTAACATATCCTCCGGTGTCTTCGAGATACAACGACATGACATTTATGTAAGAAACCATGATACGGTTTTAATAGGCTGCTTGGGTACTGGCTGTTTTGTTTGATCCCCGCAATGCCAAGTCCAAACTGGTTATACAAAGAATTTCCCTAAATGTTCAAAATGTGGACAATAACACTTGTGTTGCACAAATGTTATATGAGCTCCAGAAGAGCCATAAGATTATTAGACATTTACTCTAGTGACAATCCAGAAGATTTGTCCAATCCATTTCTTCAAATTTTTAAAATATATGTAGAATTGAAGATTGTTATCTTCAGGGGGAGACGGGAAGTACATTTACTCGAATCAATCCGGAAGATTGAATGTAAAATCCTGAAGATTATGCGTGAAGGCTATTGGTTGTACTCTTTTTCCCTTAGCTAAGTTTTTCCCACAGGGTTTTCTTAAGTTAAGGTTTTTAATGAGGCGACCAATACAATATATGTTTTACATATATCATGTACTCTTTTCTTCAACTAGGTTTTTTCCCACGTGGTTTTCCTAGTGAAGTTTTTAATGAGGCATGAATATATTTTCTATTGTACCTTTTCTTGTCTAGGTTTTTCCCACAGGGTTTTCCTAGCAAGTTTTTATCGAAGCATGATTGTGGACAAATAATGTCCAAGGGGGAGTGTTATATACATATTTAGTGGACATCATTTGTAACGGATGTAACGGATGCTTTGATTTGCTCATTATGTATATTTATATCCTTTGTAATGGACACACCATATATGATGGTGTGGAGATGAATGAAAAGATGATCCTGACCTTTCCCTCTCCACTCTCTATCTTTTCTGTTTTAACAAACTCCAACAAAAAGATCTTGCCTTTCTGACAATTATCTCTCTATCTTTTCTGTTTTAACAAACTCCAACAAAAAGATCTTGCCTCTCTGACAATTATCGTGATTGGCCCCCCGCATTCCTAAATCCTGACTCCGCCCTTGAATCTTTATATCTTCTTTATCTTTATCTTTATATATAATAAAGCAGAATCTTTTGGCCACAAGATTTTGGCTCCAATTCCCGCCAACACAATACTGTGTCGTTTTGGAGCCTGACTTTTGGGATGCATGTGTTAATTATGGGATAGATTTATTGTAAATGACTGAATTTAAAAGGAGTCTGTTCAACTGCCATGTAATCCTTGGAAGATGAAATGTTTTTATTAAACATCATGTCTCTTTGGGACTCTTTGGTATCCACAAGATTTGCATTAATTACATATTCTATAAATACCTCTTCTAATTGTAAACAAACCTAGCAGTTCATTTGTAGTACAAACACTGTAGCGGATATATATTAGAGTATTTTCCACTTTTGGTCCTATGACTTTAATGCCTCCGTCAATTTAGGTTCACAACTTTCGTTCCTGACATAAGTAGTGCTTGACTTTGATTTTGTTTCCACTTTTAGTCCTTCCGGTCATCTGAGTGACTACTTTTAATTGGAATAAATAAATTGTCGTTTATATTTATATTTAAGAGGGTAAATAAGTCATTTACCATCTCTTAAAAAATAAACAAAAGAAAAATAAAAATAAAATTAAGCTATGTAATTATCCTCTTCTTCCCGTATCTTTTGATTCTTCTCCCTCTCTTAATGGACGGCTCTGGTTCATGTATTTTTGAATCCCCTGTCCACCATTGCAATAGACTTGAAATATACTTCCTCCAATCCTCAGAACGTATCCTTGGACTTCAACCTCTTCAGTTACGCTTCTCCTGGCGACAAAAACATCTCCTTGTTCTACGTTACATCCCGGTTTCATTGGTTTCCAACCTCTTGAACTGTAACTCGACCGGAAATGGGTTCTGGTCGCCCAGTACAGGATTGCCCAATAATAATAACATCAAGTGCGGGTTTGAGATCTTTGTTACTATCACTCAAGAAGCTTTTGAGACTTTAAGTAATGCTTCTAGTATCATTCCAGTATTTTTGTATATATTGGAACGATATGGTGAGAGCTAAGGCGCATTGGAAATGGTGATCATGAAAATTGAAACAGTATCAAGAGAGCTCATCAAACCCTCTTCTTCTTCTTCTTCAAGATTCCATAAACTGTGTCTCCTTGATCAGATAGCTCCCCATGGCTATAATCCCAAAAATACATGAACTAGAGCCGCATGTGCGCTTACAGTAAGAGAGGGAGAAGATACGGGAAGAAGAGGATAATTACATAGCTTAATTTTATTTTTCTTTTTATTTTGTTTATTTTTTAAGAAATGGTAAAGGACTTATTTACCCCTCTTAAATCTAAATATAAATAACAATTTATTTATTTCGATTAAAAGTAGTCACTCAGATGACCGGAAGGACTAAAAGTGGAAAAAAAAATCAAAGTCAAGCACTACTTATGTCAGGAACGAAAGTTGTGAACCTAAATTGACGGAGGCACTAAAGTCATAGGACCAAAAGTGGAAAAAACTCTATATATTATTTACAGATACACTATAGCTCCAAAGCTTCATCATCATTGTCCCTCTATACATTCTGCGCATTCTGGGAGACGCTGAGGGAATCTGTGGAGTCGGAGCCAGGCTTTGAGGAGTTTGTCATATTAAAGATCACAGAGTAACATAAGCTCTCTGAGGCTACAATTAAGGGAGAAGCAAGAGCTCTCACAGAGCAACATAAGCTCTCTGAGGCTGCAATTAAGGGAGAAGCAAGAGCCCTGGCAGGACTACAACTGAATAAGGGGATCTCATTTGCGGATATAATAGCGGGTAAGCCTTCCACTTCTAATTTTGATTGAATAGCGAATGAATGTGTTTACTCATACTGATCATAGTGTGCACCAATTGATTGTATAAATGAAATGGGAATGTGGGCGTACCATTGACTGAATCTGCAAAACCTAACAATAATAATTAATACCTGCAAACTGTTTGTGAAAGGTGAATTCTACAAATAATTTGGTCAAGGAAGGGAAGATGCTACAATTAACAAATTAAAGAAGCTATGTTGCAATGTGCTGCAAAAAGAAACACATTGCTGCAAATAGAGGTAAATTCCAAATGCATACCTAATTTCGATCCTTAATTCAACTTATATGTTATACTTATTTCAATTATGGTTGTTACCTCTTATTGAAATCTTCTTTCTCATTTTACCATTTGTATGTTGAAAAAATTGCCAAACATAGAATAGATTGTTAGTTTCAATTTTTTAAGAAAGTTTTTCAGTCATAGTATATAAACATTGTGTTTTGATATGTATTGAAAAAAATATTAGTTTCTACATGTTCATTCTTTATTTTGTGATTTATATATAAGATGCATTATATACAAGTTTGAAATTATTTAAAAAGAATAGAATTAGCTATGCAAAGTCACATAGATATGTCACACTTTTTAGATCTCATGCTGCTATGTTTATCGTTACTAATAAAAACACTGTTCGCATCCACTAAGAATCAGAAAAAGCACAAGTCATTAGAGGACTTAATTTTGAAGACAGTCCTAATGTTGAGGTATTAATATCTATTCCTTTGTATTATTGTTTTCTTTATTGTTATAGGATTTCTTTGGGTTTAATGATCATGATTGTTCAGCTTGGTGATACAGTTTGGTGAGTCTGTCTTATAAATTTATTAATAGCTTATAGTTTACCAATAGGCAAGTAGTTTGTCACAAATTTGTGGCAGTACACATTGAACATCATGCCAGCAGAATGAGGAATGCAGAGCAGTCAATTACCATTGGAAGTAAGAGAAAGTATTCTGCTATCAATAGAGGTATGGACGAAATTTACCTGGAATTTGCTTCCTATTAAATTTGTTTTTCTTTTAACTTATAGCTTTTGCCATTTGGTAGAAGTGGATTATAATTGTCATTTTGCATTCCTGGCAAAGTGGCAAGGTTCCTGTGGATCAAAAAAATTAATAGCAGTCTTTTGGATTCATATTGTTAGTCTTAGAATCTGTTAGAAATTTCTTCTAAGAAATTTTTACAGATTTGTATCCTGATACGATTAGCTTATCTCTATTTAAATTAAAATATAATGTTACTTTATAAAATTCAAATCAATACCAAATACAAAGAGAATATAGAGAAATCCATGCGATTGTGAGAAAAAAATAATTTTATGGGTTTTGAAAATTGTATTTTTAGAGATCCATACATATAGATTGCATGCATGTTCACAAAAAAAAAAAAAATTGTTTAAAAAATAGCTTTCACAAATAAGTAACTTCATACATTTCTGAGAGAAAATAAATATATAACATCCGAAGATAATCCATAGAAATTCATATGAATCACATTCATGGTCAAGAGAAAGAAGTTGTAGATAACTGTTTGTGCAAAGATGTAAAAGTACCTCTTGGAACCCGAGATTTGAGTCACCGTAATCTGGATTGATGAAGGTTGTCCATCACCTATGTGCAAAGATGTAAAAGTAAAACTCTTAACCAAAAAAAATATTTGATACATGATTTCAAGTTTGCATTTAAAAAAAAGAGCACTAGCATCAGAATAAATATTTCATCATATGCTTGCGAGTGAAAATGAAATCATAGTGGCTTGGTGCATCAGAATGCAAAGTATATATGTCAAAACAAATTGTTTGGGCATAGAATGACATTTTCATCATATGCCTTGAACCTGGAAAAACAGTGTTAGATTCTCTCATCAATGTTCATTTAAAAGATGCCCCACATGACTATAATGTTTAATGTGGAGAAATATAACTGTCAAGGAAAAATGTATAGTCATCCTATAAATTACAATCAACAAAATTTGGCGCACTGATCATTCTGGCAGGACAACTAAAAAGCCAATGACATATATAACACTGAAATATAACTGCCCAGGAGTTACACAAGAGAAAATCATAGTGAAAAGAAAACTATGAGGCAAATAGTTGGCAAAGTGACTATTGGGACTATGAGGAAGCAGAACAGCAGCACCAAATGTATTTCACACATAGAACTTTTCAATTAAAAATTTTACCAGCAAGAGTCCATGTATTGATGATCTTAGAATTACAGTGTTGATATACATTGCACAACTTCGTCTGCGAAATTGAAATACTCTGATCGGATTATCTTTACAAATAATTAGTTATCTTTCAATAGTCACTAGAATAATTGATAGGAAAAATCTCTTTTTAGTACATTGTAATTAAATCTACAGACTTATCTGAGATATGAGACAACCAGGTAGATTGTTTGAACCTACGCATGCAACCAAATAATCCACACCTGCTAAGGGGAAATACACAGAAGTCTGACAAAATCCCTAGGTCAACATAAATTTAAAATGAAGCAATTTTTAGGTAAAATTAGCCAACCATTAATTTGCATGTTTAGATCGAATGCTTAAAATTCAAATTAGAAAATTGCAGTTTTAGATTTGACAACAAATTACCTCTGCTAAAGTCAGAAACTCTAAATTTGGAGTTTTAGATCTTCGAATAGTTAACATCCCTCACCTAAAAAATCGAAAGAAAGAATAAAACTTAAATTCAAGCTTATAATTCAATTTTAAAGCTGTAGATCGGAGAAAAAAATGACATTTAGAAACCCTTAATTGATAGTTTTAGATCTTCGAATACTTCAAATAATTTCACGAACAAAAGAAGAAACAGAATTAGTAACTTACAAATATAGATGCAAGACTTCATCTTCGCTTTTTCGCTTCTGAAAAATCTCTCAGGTAACGCAAACTCCGACTAGAGTTTCCAAATCGGTACTCGAATAATAGTCGAAATTGACTCAATTAGAGATGATGTAAGTAGATTACGTAGAGACGACAATGGATTATAGATTAAGGAATGCGAATGAAATGCGAATGAAATGCGAATACTCATCCTCATCTACCCGTTTCCTCATCTTGGGATTCTTTTATTATTATTATTATTATTATTATTATTATTATTATTATTATTATAATAATAATAATAATTATTATTATTATTATTAGAATAGATTATAATTATAATAATAATAATAATAATAATAATAATTATTATTATTATTATTACGGAGTATTATTATTATTATTATATTATTATATTATTATTTTTATTATTAATTAATAGAGAGTTGAACATGTAAAAGTTAAAAGTAGTGTTTCAACTGTTTATCATTAACAGGCCGTTTGGTTGGAGGGGGGGAATTATGTGGGAAAGGAATTGTAATTCCATGGGAGTTGAATTACTGGGAATAAAGTGGGAATTTAAATTCCAGTGTTTGGTTGACAGGAATATAATTACTGGGAATTTCAATTTCAATGTTTGGTATACATGGGAATTGAAAGGGAATAAGTAGTATAAAGTCAAAAATGTCCATTATTGTTGTTAGACATTAATTTTAGGTTAAAAAGGGAAGGGGTAATTTTGACTCATCACTATCTTTTTTTCCCAGGAATTAAAATACCAGGGGGGGACATGAGATTTTAATTCCATGAAAATTGGGGAATTGCAATTCCATGGAATTGCAATTCCCTCCAACCAAACTACGGAATTTAATGGCCTTTGGAATTAGGCGGGAATTAAGTGGGAAGGGAATTTAAAATCCCTCCAACCAAACGCCCTGTAAGTTTATAATAATTTATATTTTTTTTTTTGTTTGTACTCAATTTTAATATTTAATAATAAAATTATTGTTTTTAATATTTTCACAATATGATAACATTTTCAAATTTAGTTGTGTATTGCATAGAGAAAATGAACGAAATGTAACACTAACCTTTTTATTTAGAATTTTTAGACATATCTATAGATCTAAAAGTAAATCTCATATATTTTCAGATCTGTGTATACCCAAACATATTAAAACGAAAATTAGTCTTATTTAGAAACATAAAACCTAAATAGTTAAGTATCATCATAAATGAAAATCAATTAGTCTATCTCATGAATTACCGGTAAAATCATCAGATCTAGATAATGTATTTGAAAAATAAAAATAAAAAAATTAGTACAGAGATCAAACTAGGTCAGTACATGTTTTTTTTAATTATTCAATTTGTAATTAAATATAATTTTATAATTATTATTTACTCCTGTATAAAAATAATAAATTAAATTAAATTATAATTATTGCACACAATTCTACTATCCTATTATATAATAAAGTCATAAGATTTCGGCCAATCACATTGCTCCATTATCTTACTGCTTAAAGTCAACTTAAATTTGCCATATCAATTAAATAAAACTAATTGAATCCCAAGAAATTAACTTCGAATTTATAAGTAAAAATAGTCATTGCTAAAGAACTCAACTTATAGATCTTAGAAGTTAATTTTCCAAACTGAGTATGTTGTGAATTAATGAATGTTTAGAAAACTGAGCAATGATACAAACTTTAAAAATTAAGTCAACTTAAAAATTAGGCACAAATCAATTAAGTAAAACTCATTGCATTCCAAAAAAAAAAAAAAAAAAAAAAATTGATGAAAAATTGTAATTTATACATGGCTGCTTCTCGGGTTAACAATCCAGATGGTCTGAAATTATTGATAGTAAAAAACTCAAGTACAACTACTACATCAACCACTAGCGTTGTATATCATGAAGTTTTCAATAATTTGTAATTTTGTAAATCTTTCTTTTTTTAATACCATAACATTAATTTCAACTATTTATAATATACCATTTACACCTTTTTTTTTGTTCAATTTCCAAACACAGTTAATTTAGGAATAAGGTTCAAATTGGCCACTGAACGTAACCTAAAAATGCAATTAGGCCACTGAACACTCCAAACATGTGCAATTTCACCTGATAGCAGGTTACCCTCAATTTTAGCAGGTTATCTGCTTACGTGGCAGCTGAGTTGGCATTTTTAATAAATTTTAATTAATTTTTAATAAATTTTTATTAAAAAAAAATTTTTAAAAATAAAAACGACTTTATTTTATTTTTTATTTAATTTTTTCCAATTTTTAATAAAATTTATTATTAAAATTAATTATTAAAAATTATTTAAAAATTATTAAAAATGCCAACTTAGCTGCCACGTAAGCAGGTAACCTGCTAAAATTGATGGTAACCTGCTATCCGGTAAAATTGCATACGTTTGGAGAGTCCAGTGGCCTAATTGCACATTTTTTTAGTGTTCAATGGCCTAATTGCACTTTTTTTTTCGTTCAGTGGCCTAATTGCATTTCCAGATTACGTTCAGTGGCCAATTTGAACCTTATTACATTAATTTATATATTATAAATTATAACCTCATTATTGCACACAATTTATAATATAACATCCATAAACTTAATACTTTTCAATTTATATCACGTGCAATGCACTGGACAATTACTAGTAGATGTATATAAGGCGGTTACACACTTAACCGTCGTATATACTACATTAGATTTTTTAAAACTATTGATGCATATACTAGGGTTATACGGGCAACCGATGTATATATTGTAATATTTTTTCAAATAGATGTATATACAACATTTATACACCTAACTAACGTATATACTACATTAGATTGTTTATTTTTTAAATATTGATGTATATACGGTGATTATACGGACAACCGCCATATATACTATATTATATATTTTTTAATTTTTTTGAAATAGTTGTATATATGGTGGTTATACACCTAACCGTCATATATACTACAAATGAACTTTGTTTTTTAAGTATTTATGTATATGTGGCGGTTATACTGGCAACGACCGTATATACTTTATTATAAATTTTTTAGAAATAGATGTATATATATGTCGGTTTTATTCAAAACCTATGTTTTTTTTGAAAGTTACTAGCTCTATTACATTGTAGTATCTGTTCATATACTTTCTCAACCTACTGAAACACAAAGAACCAATAATGCCTCCACTGAGGCTCGAATTCATAATCTTCCAAATGGAAGTCCAACCTATGTAATATATATGTTTTTTAAATGTATAACAACTTAATTATACCCAAAACCCTCCAAACACACTTACAATTTTCAATATCTAAAAAACCTTCAAAAAATATCGCCATTGTTGCGCTGCTGTTGAGATAATACGTAGATTGCGTTTTGCTGCAAATATCCCATGGTATAAAAAGTGAACCAAACATAAGAATATATTTATTGCAAATGTCACCTTAATGAGATATAAATAATTAAGGACTCTTGTCATTACCCTATAAAATGATATTTTCACAAGCAACCAATGAATGACTCTCATTAACTATGTTCCTCAAACCGTTATTATTCTATTAAAGAGATAGCTCATGATATAGATCACCTACAACTCAACAGCTAGGCTTAAAGTGATCCCTAGTCTAAATTGATAGATCTATTGGTTTGTTGGGAATTTTAATCAAAATTTATTCCCAAAAATTCATTTACAATATTAACAAAAATAATTCAAGGTATGTCACACTCATATTTTCTTTAAAATGAATTCACTTCTTCATGATATATATATATATATAGTGCTAGGAGCATTGATGAAATTATTTCCTAGGATACAATAAATTACGTACCAATGTATATATTTGAGCACTCAAATATGAATGGTCTCGGTGAACTTGAACAAAGATAAATATTTAAAAATTTTTATGGAAATGTTGGCAAAATTTTAGAAGAGTAATTAAATAGAGTTCCGTAGGAGAGAAAACTAATATTTTTTGGGAGGTGTCAAAGGATTGAAAAAATTATGCTCAACAAAAAGTATTTATAGGAGAATATAATTCATTAGCATACAAAATATCAAATTTATCCTCTCAATTATGAGAATTTAAATCTACTTTGATCCGACTCAAATCAAAAGTTGACCACATATACTCATACACGCTGGTTATTGTAGTGTTTATATTTATTCAAATTTACATTTTTAATATCATTAGAACCGCCTAGATCGGAGCCTGACATCTGAATTGAATTGACTCCTGACATCAAATATGTTTTTTTAAAAGGAATATTTTAAATATGTTATGCCATGAAAAATGATATTAAATTTGGCAACGTAACGTTTCCTAGTCTCAACCAACCCTAGCTAGCTAGCTAGTTTCATTTTCTTTAATTTTTTTCCAATCATTTATCCTACATGACACTTTAAAAATTGTAAAAAAAAATACTTTTACTGATGTGATTACTCTAAAAGAATCATTTTTTCTCTCTCTCTCTCTCAATTTCTTAGCCCGCCACCTTACAAAAACCTCATAAAAAATAAAGAATATTAAAAAAATAAATAAATAAAACTTGTTAAAAAGAAATAATGTGGAGATGCAATATAATGCTCTAATAGGAGATGAGTTGGTCACCTCTTAGAGGATCAACCGCATCTTGAGTTCTTTTGGAGTTTATTTGCATTGTTGGCGGAAAGAGGGAATGATCATGACTTGGAGGAGAGAGGGAGGAGAAAAAAAAAACACACACACACATTTATAGTATATATGGTTTTTTGTGGACCTTAAGAAAACTTTAAAACAAAAATTGTTCATGTTGGTGTGCATTTTAATTAATTTGCACACTAGGTGGGAGCGTGCTTTCCGGCGACTTTTGGCCTCTTTCTACGGGAAATCTCGGCGACGATTCCAATCTGCGTGCATGGAGCGAGGATCGGTGACGGAGGCGGTCAACATATTGGGGAGACGGTGGGCTGACGTCGTCCTTGACGACGAGGAGGATGAGGTTTTCGTACCTCCCGGAGTGGCGGATGCTGAGCAGCCGGCTGCGGCAGTTCAGGTATGGCGGCTAGTTGGCAGGTTTTTGACTACTAAGCTTATTAAGACGGAGTTCATGAGCCAAGTCATGGCTTCGGTATGGCAGCCGGTTAAGGGGGTTCAAGTTTCAGAATTGCAACCGGGGCTTTTCCTGTTTGTGTTTTTCCATGTAA